GTGCCTGCAGGGCACCTCCTTACCAACAGGTGCCCATATCCTCCCACCCAGCCTGAGAAGGAACCACATCACGTGCCAGAGGTGGGACATGTGACCCATAGAGATGGGGTCAACACCCAAGCAAGATGGCCCCTCACGGAATCCGGGGATGGGTGGGTTGTGGGGAGAACATGCTCTTCCCTTGGGAACTGCCATAGTCGCAGGGAAGATGAGCCGGGCCTGGGAGTTGCCCGTCTGAGAAACATGAGGGAGCCATCGTGCTCTTGGTTGGCTCTGCTCTGAGCCCCACAGCAGCACCATGGGATAGAGTGTGTGCCGGCCAGGGAGGGAGGCAACTGGTTGGATCCCATTATTGCCTGACCAAAGGTGACATCCAAAATGGGGAGTGCTGCAGCTTCCTGGCTCCTTATTACCTCTTCTCACGGGTGAGGAAATCGAGGTCCAGGATAGTCAGGAAACTTGTCAGCTGTCCTGTGGGGATCAGCTGCGTGTGGTGGTGCACACCTGTAATCCCAGCAATCTGGGAGGCTAAGGCAAGAGGATTACAAGTTGAAATCCCCCTTGAGGAACTAGCAAGACCATCACAAAACAAAAAATAAAAAGGGCCGGGATTGCTCTGGGTCCAAACACTAGTACTAGAAAAACAAAATAAAGGATCTCTGTCCTTTTAGACAGAGATCCTTCTCTGGACGTGGTTAGAGAAAGACATGGGATGGGACAGGGTCAGAAGGCAGGAGGTGGGCTGGCCCAGCACCAGCCCTGAGGATGGCGGAGGGGCCCACACCCAGGATGCAGGCGCCTCCACAGCTGGAGAAGGGAGGAGAAGGATCCTTCCTGAAGCCCCTAGCTGGAGCCAGGCCCAGGCCCGGGAGATGCACAGTGGTCTTCTGACTGGCTCACAGAACCACGAGACAGCAGTGTTTATTAGGCATCTAAGTTTGTACCCACCTGTCTGCTGCCACAGCAACAGTGTAGCTTCTGCTTCAGCAGTGGAGACTCATTCCAGGGGTGCTGGAAGGTGGGGGCAAGGATGGGCCCAGCTGACCTGTGGGGCCCAGGTGTAACTCTACAGAAAAGACACAGTAGAGGCAGGTGATGGAAAGTGCTGGTCGGAAGCCCACTGTTCTTGGCTTGCTAGGGCTGCCATAGGGAAGCGTCACCCAGGGACGAAGCAGCCAACAGCAATGTCCTGCCTCAGACAGGAGCCAGCCAAGCAAAGTCGGCAGGCTGGAAGGAGTCTCTTCTGGGTCTCATTTAGCATCTGATCACCCTGGCTGCTTCTGGGGATCTGAGCACCTCGACCACTGTCTGCACGTGTGCGTGTACGTCTTGATGTCCAAACCCCCCACCACTTTTTTTTTTTTTTCTTTTCAGTACAAGGGATTGAATCCAGGGCCTTCACACTGAGCTACATACCCAACCCTTCTATTTATTTTGAGACAAGGTCTAACTAAGTTCCCCAGGCTGAGCTGGAACTTGCAAACTTCCTTCCTCAGCCTCCCCTAGTGCTGACTTTACAGATATGAACTCCCTTCTATAAGGATGCCAGCTCTGTTGGATTTGAACCAGCCCAGATTAATTTTATTGTCATTCCTTATAGTTTTACTGCATAACATATATGCCCATAAATACAGTGTTTATTTTTAATTATTTTAATTAGACATAATGGTGTCAGAGGGCATGGATTCTCTAGCAACTGGCTTTTTAACTTGGAAATCTTAAGATCTACTTATTGTTGGCTGGCTGTAATCACGTATCTCCAAGTCTGTGCTGGAGTCTGCTGTGTGAGTATTTGTGGACATAGTTGATCTTCCACCTGTTCATGGGCAGAGAGATACTGCGTTTGTCTCAGTGCGTGGTGACACAATGGCCTTTCCTGTTCATGAGTGCTTCAGCCCTGTGCAGAACTCTCTTAGGCTGCAGTGGGATGGAATCGTTGAGTCTCATGGGGTCTTGGTGTCTGGTCAGATCACTTGAAGTACACCTCTGGAGCAGCCTCCGCAGCCACTCCTGTCAGTGTGGGACACACAGTGCTTCACGATGACTCTTGGTGACAGCCTGGTGTGTGCAAACTGGTATTCACACCTCAGCTCGCGTTCTCTCTCTTGCTCTCTCTCTCCCTCATTTTCTTTCTTTCTCTCCTTCACCTTCCTTCCTTCCTTCCTTCCTTCCTTCCTTCCTTCCTTCCTTCCTTCCTTCCTCTCATCCCTCCTTTTTTATTTTATATTTTTTTGCAGCACTGGGGATCGCACCCAAGGCCTCTGCTCTGAGCTACATCCCCAGCCCTTCTTTATTCTGAGACAGGGTCTCACAGTTTGGTCAGCTTTCTTGTCACTGGGTCACTCTCCTCTCTGACACCTGCATCTTAGAGGAAGAGAGGTCCATTCTTCCCTCCACCGGGCCCTTCTGCTGTGCCACTTCTGGCTTGGATTCAGCCAGCTCTGAACTGAGTTCTCATTTGCTCACTGTTTCAGAGAATTCAGTTCAGAGCTGACTGAATCCAAGCCAGAGGTAGCACAGCAGAAGGGCCTGGTGGAGGCAAGCTGTGCAGGTCATGCTAGCCCTGAAGGGGAGAGACAGGAGGAGCCAAAGACCAGAACGCATCCTTGGGCTGGGGAGACAGCTCGCTAAGCTGTCTAAGCGCCTGCCTGGAAAGCGCAAGAATCCGGGTCTGATCTCCAGTGCCACATACAGTATGGGCCAAACAGGGCGTGGTGATGTGTGTCTGTAATCCCAGCGCTGAGGAGGATAAGACAGGAGGATCACTACAAGTCTAAGTTGTGTAGCGAGACCTTCTACCAAAGAAAGGAAGAAAGGAAGGAAGGAAGGAAGGAAGGAAGGAAGGAAGGAAGGAAGGAAGGAAGAAAGAAAGGGAGAAAGAAAGAAAGAAGAAAGAAAGAGAAAGAAAGAATTAAAAAAAAAAAAGAAGGAAAAGAATGCATCCTTCCAGGCTGTCCCAGGGACCTGGTTCCTCTTGCCAGGGTCCACCTCCTCATGGCGCATTTAACTACTGAGCTCCCCAATGAATGCATCCACTAATGAGTGCAGCATCCCGTGACCCAGTCCCTCCCCATGTGCCCCACCTCTGAGTACAGACTTTTGGGGGACACGCTGGATTTAAACCATGATACTCACTAAATCACTAAACTGCCCAGACTGGGCTCAAACTTGTGATTCTCCTGCATCAGCCTCTGTGACTGCTGGGGCTTCAGGTGTGCACCATCCCTTTCCAACACCATCTCAGTTTTCCTCCGTCAAATTCTGACAGATGCGGTGCTGTTGGCTGTCATGTTTTCTCTTCTGGGAATAACTGTGTGTGTCTGTTGTTCATTTTTCCATTGGGTCACTAGCTTTTTTTTCCCCTTTGGTACTGGGAATTGAACACAGGACCATGTGCTTACCAGACAAGTGCTTTGCCACTGACCTATATCCTCCACCCCTTTGGGATTTTGATCCTTGGACTGTTATGTGTGTGCAAAAATCATTCCCAGGTGTGACCTTTGTTTTACCTTCTTGGTACTAGCTTTGGATTCTCATCCTCGTTCTAACTGAATATGTTCACGTCTTTGTGGTGTGTGTCTAGTAGTACAGTGTGCTTTTTGTGTCTCATGCTTTTGGCATCTCATTTTTACTCCTTGATTTGTTTTCTGTTGATGAAATTATTGAATATCATTTGTGTTAGTTTCCTTATGACTGTAACAAAATATTTGCCATAATTGATTTAAAAAGAGGAAAGGTTCACTTTGGCACTTGAATTTGAAGGGTTTTGTCCATGGTCTGTAGGCTCTATTGCTCTGAGGCTTGCAGGGAGGCTGCCCATTGCAGCAGCGCTGTGTGGTAGAGTAGAGGCACTCACTGATGGTAGCTGGGAAGTGAGAGAGAGGAAGAGGGGAGGCTGGGGCCCCAGGACTCCCTTGGAGGCCACCTCTACTGGGCCACCTCCTGAGGGCACCACCACCTCCCAGTAACACAAGGCTGGAGATGAGGCCTTGAACTCCTGGGCCTTGGAACATTCCAGACCTGTCCTACAGGAATAACTGCTGCCTGCCCTCTCCTCCCACTGACCACAGCTCTACCTCTGGCTGTCAGTCTATGTGGCAGACGTCCAGTCAACTGTCTACTGCCCCCTGCTCCAGGACAGGGTCAAATTATCCATACTGTACTGCTCTAGTGACCTAGTGACAGTGTGTCTGATCACTTAGAGACCAAATCCCTGGCCCTTTTCTTCTTGGAGAGGTGTTGGCTGTTTTCAACTCTTCGTTCTTTGAGTCCCAAGTCACTTTGTCAAGTTCTGTGTGAACTCTTGTGTGCTACTGAAAGTTCACATTGCTCATGGGCCGAGATATGAGTTTAAGGGAATTTTCTTATGTTTCACTTTGCTGAGTATTTTCATTATGGATGGATTCATGTTACTCTGTTTTTTTAAAAAAAAATGCTTTCCTTTCACTTATTGAGGTGATAAAAGATGTTTTTCTCCTTTGTTCTGTTTCTATGGAGAAGTGAATGTTAAAGCACACTTCAGTCCAGGAATAGACTCAATTTTGACATAATATGTTTTGTATATACTGATGTTGTCTTAGCACATTATGACCAGATTCCATATAGAAAACCCATTAGGGTGGTAGTAGCCATTTATCACATTGCTGAAACAAAATACCCGACTTGCATAATGTAAAAGAGGAGAGGTTTATTTAGACGTGTGGTGTCAGTGGGATCAGTCCATGGCTGCCTGGAGCCAAACAGGAATCCCACGGAGGGAGGGCATGGCGGAGGAGAGCTGTCTCACTCCTGGCACCTAGAATCAGAGATTAGGGGGACAGCACCAGAGAGGAAGGGGCTGGGAATCAGATCCAGTCCCCAGGGTGACAACCCTGTGACCCACTCAGACACCGCAGGGAGTGGGCTGTTCTCATCTCCTCAGCAACTCCAACTCTGAAGCCAGTCAAGTTGACAGTCAAAATTAATCATCACACTGCGCGCGCGCGCACACACACACACACACACACACACACTGCTAGACATCTTGAATGTGTTTAGGGTTTTGCATATATGGTTATTAGAGAAATTGCAGTTAATTTTCCTTTCTCTTGCTGTCTTTGTCTACGTAGAAGTGCAGATTTCTTAATTGTCACAGAATTAGTAGACAAGAGTTCCCTTTTGTTCTCTTTTCTGGAGATTTTGAATGAGATTGGAATCGTCTGCGCCTGAGATGTTTTGCTAGAACTTGCCCGTAAAACAAGCTGAGGCTCGTTTTTATATTGTAGAACAATTTCTTTCTTTTTTTTTTTTTGTAGAACAATTTCTAAAATATTGATTAAATTTTGTTGTTGGTATAGTACAATTCGGGCTACCCTCTGGAGTCTGTTTTGGGAATTTGGAGTTTTTTGGTAATTTGTCTATTTCTTCACAATCATTTGCCAAAAAATCTCCTATTTTCATAGGATATTCTCATCTTAGCTTTTTAAATTTTATTTATTTATTTATGGAACTGGGGATTGATCTCAGGCCCTTGCACTTGCCTGGCAAGAGATTATTCAACTGAGCTACCTCCCGGCCACATCATATTAGCTTTTTAACCTCTACCACGGTTGGTACTCATGCTCCCTTTTGGGGGCTCGTTTGGGCTTTCTTTTTTCTTAACTGATCAGTCTTGCTAGAAATTTGTCAACTAGGTTTGTCTTTTTAAAAAACCAGCTTTGCAATGAGAAGAAAGAGGTGTACTAATAGTGTTTGGACAGGATATCCTGTCTGCTTCTTGTACTATGGATAACAACTAAGAAGATAACAATGTACAGTGTATTGATTATCAAAACTGTCCTGTTAATCAGTTTTGAAAATGTCTCATTCATATTTTTTTCTCAATAAAATTTTAAAAAATGGTGAATAAAAAAATAAAAACCCAGCTTTGTCTTGGTGTTTCCCATCATATCTTTATTTTCTCTGTTATTAATTTCTGGTTTACATTTATTACTCTCCTCCCATTTTCTTTTCATTTATTTTGTTGTTGTTTTTCTAATTTGTATCTTCTTCAGTACCAGGGATTGAACCCAGCTCCTTCACACATCCCCAGTCTTTCTTTTCTTTTCTTT